AGTTAGTAGAAAAAGATATATAAAATAAACTATAAATATTAGCTAAACAACTTTAAAAAAAAAACAGTTCATTACCTTGGAAACTAACTGAAATAAAATTAGCTGAAGTACTAAAATTAATAAAACTGAAATAAACTAAAGCTAAATATATACATACATTCAAATTCAAAATATTAACAAACAAATACATACTACATATATACTACAAACATATATAAATAATGCTAAACTAACCCTATATATACACAATAGTTTGAATGGAAAGTGTCTTGAGAGACACTAAGGCCCAATCCCAATTCTACCCCTTAGCCCTTCCCCTTTCCCCTACCCCTCGGTTTTGCGCGTTCACGTGAAGGGGTAGGGGTGTCTCGATTCTCTTTTGGTTGGAGGGGTAGGGGTAGGGGAAGGGCCAGACAGCCCTTCAAACGAAGATTTTTCGGGACCACACTTCAAACGAAGGGGTATGAATTATCTCAGCGTAAACCGGCTTCAGGGGCAACATGCCGAGCGAACAAAAAGACACATAAATGTAAGCATTTTTGGCATTAATAAAGATTTTAACGAAAAGTAATCATTTGTTTTATGTTACATTCAATTGTGAGTTCATATTTACGGTCATGTTACTCAAAGAAATGTTTGCAAAAAAACGCTAATATTTGCTAACTAACGTCATATCATTATAGACTGCACGAGAGTGCCACAACATATTTTCATGTCTGAAGGAGCTAGACGACGTATGATGACGTGTGACAGCATAGTAGTGGTGTCCCAATTCTTAGGGGAATATTTTCACCCCTACCCCTTGACACTCTGTTTCAAGGGACATGGGGAAGGGGTAGGCGGAGGGGTAGGGGAAGGGGTATAAAATAGAATTGGGATTGGGCCTAAAATGTACTAAAATAAGATGCAAGTCCACTTAAAGGGCCAAGTACAGTGTGAAAACAAAAATAACGGAGTTTATTTTTTATTTATTTTTGGTCTGAGTTTGGTTTTCAAAACAGTGAAAACATCACAAAACCAAAGCATCTCTAGGCGCATCATGACACGCATTGTGTATGAGTTCAGCTTCAAGGCGAACGGGTAAACAACCCTCAAGAATCCTCCAGAACTTTTGGTCCTGCTAGATGAAAGAAGAAAGTGAGGGAAGAACATAAAGTAATGGACAATGTCTTCCAGTCTTTCTTCGTAAGAACAAAATAAATAATCCCCTTTTCCTCTGTAGCAATTGACTTGCATGCGATAGATCAAAAGGTATCAGATTAAAGGACAAATGCACTCACAACACACACACACAGGACTGGCAGAAGGCCAGAGAGGCCTGGTGTGGTGCAGTCATTATATAGCAGGGCATTTTTGTGTGTTGGGAAAGGACAGCTGTAGAGTTAAGACAGCTGACAGACAGAGAGTGCAGCGAGCTTTTTAATCTAAGCCAGACACTGATTACAGATGCCAGGGGACGGCACTTAATCATTAGCACGCTAGTATTTGATGTAATCAGCTGTCCTCTATACACACAAACACACATGCGACTCCACTGAGCCGTGATCGAGCGCGTAACTTACAAACTTTATTGACCTTTAACAATCAGGGACATTACGAATGATCTTGCACATTGTTCGCAGCTCTATTACACTAATGCAGTTTGTATGTATTTTAGGACAGGTAATGGTCTCAGCTGCCTAATAGGAATCGACTTTACAAGTGTCCATACAGCCATCATCTCAGCCTCGTCTCGGTGTCCACTGTCTAAGCTACTAGTATGCTCTGGCAGGTTTTTGACTAAAGGCATAACAACTCAGTTAAGCACACAGCTACTCAGCCGTTTCATTTTCTCATTCTGACTGAAATATAATGATTATATTTTATGGCATTGGGAATGGCACGGAATGCATGAACTGATAAAATGTATGCCTACAATACAATGCAAGACGCTTTGGATAAAAGCACCTGCCGAATGCATAAATGTAAATACACTACCAGTGGTCAAAAGTTTGGAGGCGCTGTTACACCAAATACACAAAATAATGATCTTTAAAATAGCATCATATGACCCCTTTAATGTTTTTCAAGAAAGTGTTTTTTTTTCTCACCGAGGCTGCATTTATTTGATCACAAATGCCCTAAAAATGGTAATATTGTGATATGTTATTACAATTTTAAAATGCAATTTATTCCTGTGATGCAAAGCTGAATTTTCAGCATCATTACTCCAGTCTTCAGTGTCACATGATCCTTCAGAAATCACTCTAATATGCTGCTTTGCAGCTCAAGAAAACCATGATACTTTAAGTTCTTTTGGATTGATAGAAAGAACTTAAACTAATTAGGCCTATCAAAAAAAGCCTATCAACCAAAATTCACTTTTTTACACAACAGGCAAGCGAATCTGAAATTAGACAAAGTGGATAATGCAAACGTGCTTAAAACTGCAAGAAATTAGCCAATCAGAATAGAAACTGCCATTTTGAGGAAGCATTTACCATAAGACGGTCAATGAACAGTCTGTTTGCATTGCGGCTGAGGCAGACTAGCATAAAACCAACTTGACTTTATGCATGAATATTCTTGTATACTTTATGACAGCACACATGCCCTTCACAGATGTAGGTATCTTACAGTTATGTCCCATACTATTGTACTAAACTTGTTTCTACACGCAAGTACAGTCTTACAGAGCATTCCACAACTGCTCGTGCGTGTCAGTGTGAAATGCAAGCAACTTTTCTTCATGCATTCATACAGATATACAGCTCTCTGATGGGAGAATGCAAAGTGTTAAGCAATGCAGTATCTGCCACACTTTAATGACAGAGCACACGGTTTCCGCTCACTTCATGGCCTGCAGGGACACCCAACACCAAGCCCTAATGATTTCTAAAGGCAGAGGAGTGGCCAACCGGAAACAGAAGTGTAAAAAGTGCCAGAGTTTGAGAAAGATGGGAGGATGTCCGCTTGACTGTCTAATCTCGTCAGGTGTTTTAACAACCATGTCTTGCACCAGAACATGGCCATTATGGAATTAGCTAAATGTGGGTGCACACACACACACAGCTCCCCCCAGGTGTTTCTATAACAGTAGGTAATTAGTGCTCCTCACGTCAAGCATTTAAGATGCTAATAACAAGCTTACTGAGACTTACATTGTTATGTCAAGTGAACTGCCAGCGGGAACGATGGGAAACTCATTTTGACATTGTTAAGGGATGTTTCACACATTGTATGGGTGCTTACGTGTTAAAGGTGGTCCGGGTTTGAATGCAAAGACCAAAAGTCACCCTGTAAAGGTTTATACCTGTCCAGAAGGGGTGTGTTCCAGGGGTCAGAGGTCAGACAAATTTAAATAAGTGGTGAAAGTTCAGTCTCGCTTTTGTTTTTGTCACCAGCAGAAAACCTGCCCACTTAGGTAATTGGTCATCTTCTTTGTGAAATCACTTTGGGATGTTTGAAAGGTAAAGCCTGAGAGACATTTATGAGCAAATTTAAATCTGGAAATTCCACAAGCACTCAATACAGCGCAACAGTGACCGCCCACTTTTTAACTGCATTGGTTGATTTTTTCCTCCATTAATTTTCTCCAGACAAAGACAAAACTGTCTTTAGAGCTCTGTGATGAATTACAACACAAAAACATTTTATTTGATGCAAAAAAGAAGAAAATATCTGAAGTAAAAGACGAGGCTGTGCCCTTTCTTAAGGTAATCAACGTCTCTTCCCATGGAACACTGTAAATAATGTATCTGAATCATAAACAGCAGTACAATATAAAATGTCACTTGAAAAAAAAAAAAAAAACATTATCTCATTACATATTGACCTAACTTGGAACTTACTGTTATTTTAGTATCACTGATATACTATTTTTTTTGTTAATAATTTGAATTAAATTAATTTTTGTATATAATTTCACTTTAATTTAAAGTTGTAAAAATGGTCATTTTTGTTAGTTTTTTTATGTCTATGTATTTTATCTGCATGAATTTTTTAGTACTAAAATAACTAAAAACTACAATAAAAACTAATAAATAAAGTAATTAAAACTATATACATTTTTGTATTTATTGGTTTTAGTTTTATTTTAGTACTGAACAATTAAGCCATGGAAACTAGCTAAAGCTAGTTTACTTTTTTATACTTTATTTCAGCTAACGTATTTTGTTTCAAGTAACAAAAATGTTTTTATGGTTTTAGTTTAGGTTTTAGTTAATGATGATAACACTGCTTTGATAACAATTACAGCCTCTAGTCTTTTTGGTTATGATGGGACAAGCTTTGCACTCCTAGATTTTGGGGATTATCTTCCATTTTCTTTCTCCCCCGATTGCTCAGTTTGGACAAGCTGCCAGCTGTAGAAAGAGTCCTGGTTGTTCCAAACTTCTTCCAATTTAAGAATTATGGAGGCAACCTTCAATGCAACAGCCTTACCCAAATCTGTACCTCGACACAATCCTGTTTCTGAGCTCTGCAGACAGTTCATGGCTTGGTTTTTGCTCTGAAATTCATTTCAGTTGTTAGAACTTTTATAGACAGCTGTGTATTTTTTTCCCAAATCAGGTCCAATCATTTTGAATTAGTCACAGATTTACTCCAATCAATATGTAGAAACATCCTCTTAAGAGGATCCAGAGAAATGGGATCCACCTGAGCAAAGGGTGTAAATATTCAGGACAGTATGATATTTCATTTTTTTTCTTTAAAGCTATCACAAATGTGGCTTTTGCTCTGCTTTGTCATTAAGGGGTCTGGAGTGTAACAAAAATAGAAAAAAAAATATTTAAAGCACACATATACATACACGCATATATATTTTTACTTCTGCAACCCAACTTGTGCTCTCAACTTCTCTCTCAATTTTACGCTGTAAATGTGATTACAAGTAAGTCTGGTGAATGCATTTCAGATTCCCAACATCGGTCACCCTGCCAGAAGGCCGTGGCTTTGAGACTAGTTTGTTGTTTTAAAGCAGACCACAAATGACCCTTCAAATTGGGTGTTTTGGGATTGTTGCCACCAGCATCAGCTTCACTGTTTCCTTGCTTGGGAAAATACAAGGAAATTTGTATTTTCCATGACCTAAAAGAAAAACTTTGAATGTCAAGATATTTTTCTCTAAAACGCTTGATTATTCCAAGTGTATTAAGTGAATTCACTCTTAAAAAAAAAAAAAAAAATTCCAGAAATAATGGCTTCGGGATCATCGTGTCCTCCCAAGACTGGGCGGTTTTCAGCTAATCACAGCTGGAGTTTTGAATGCTGCTGCACACATTTATCTTTAGGGGTACTGCTGGTCTAATTTACATTTTGCTTTTGGCGGTGTTGGCTGATCGTGAGCAAAGACAGGCCGTCTCATTATCCCGTGGTTTTCTCTGTGCGGCTGCCATGTCGTCGGCGTCCTAAACTGCACCTGGACGTTTGGTAAGAATTACCTCTGGCATCCACTGGTAGACTTTGGCTTTTGGTTGGCACGGCTTGGAAATGGGATGTGAACTGAATACCAAAACCTGAAACCCAGACGGCTCCTACAACTTGTGGTGACCCATCAGAACGTGTTCATTTTCTTTTTAGTGTTACATCATGTGAAGCTGTTTTTGCACCAATGCCAGACTTAATTTATTATGAATAATCTTATCTTTTGGTTTGCATCCATCAAATACCAAATAAGACCAAATAGATTTTGTCATTTCATTTGAAAAAGAAACTTAGTTTGCTTAATTATCCAAATATAGGCATGGATATTTCATATTTAAACAATTTTTTGGTAGATTTCCAACAAAAATGGCTGTATTGTGATATTACACCATTACCATGAAGTGACTGATTTGAAGATTTTTGTCATACATCTATTCTGAAGTGTTGCTAAGAGTAAATCATAACTTACCTGCGTTTGGGGCTTCCCTGATGTCCCTGCTTTCTTGTCTGGAGAGCCGTTCTGCTTATCTGCACTTTTCTTCTTCTCTGGGGTCTGGAAAAATTGACGGAGAGAAAGAAAAAGAGAGAGAGAGATTGCAATCCCAGGTTAAAATGAGCTGAGAAAATATTTAACACGTGTCAAAGACAGAGCAGCTCCAGTCACCTGTCATGCTCAGTGTTAGAATCATAACAGCGGATAATGTTTGTGAATTGAGTGACTGTAACAGCTTTGTCCTTCAGTGATGTAACACAATACACTTCTCGGATGTTTTTTCAGTCGGGCTGTCAGAGAGCCGTGATGAAAGAGAGCAGTAATTTGTAGAAAGCGCAGCCTGTCTAGTCACGGCCTAAAGGGACCACAGGACAATGTCATTGCTCTATAACTCTATACCCCAGAGAGAAAAACAGACATTGGAAGAAAAGAAAGACTAGTTAAAAAAAGTTTGAAATAAAGAAATATTAACTTTACACTTTTTTTATGAAGCCTATACACACCTTATAGACACACACAACATTAGGCCTTATAAACAATACTGATCATGTAAATCGTCATCTTATAACTAGTTATATAGTTGCCGTTTTTCTCAGGAGCAAAGTTACAGTACATTATAAGACCTATACTTAGTATAAACCTAACACTAGAAAGTGTTAACAGCAAAGTGAACACTGAATTAATAAACCTGATGGGTCAAAGATAGATCAAGACGTCTTAAGAAAGAAAGAGTGAGACATTGAAAAGCTGTGAGAAGAGAAGAAAGCATTCTGGATGGGGGGTGAGGGAGGATGTGGAGTGTGACAGAAGAGCTCGTCTGTCGTCCCCCCTCAGGGCAGGAATCAGTCCTCACAGAGCAGGTATGTACCCGCTTTGATCTCTAAACACACATACAAACACAATGTCACGCGCTTTCAAACATTTAAACACACACACACACACACACACACACACACACACACAGCAGGGCTATTAGTTTTTATTATGGTTGTCAATTTTGGTTTATTTCCACTGCGTTTTAATGGTGCATAAATAGTTTAGATGTTGATTTTAACTACATTCACTTACATACATTTTAGATTATATATTGACTACCTGTCAAAAGTTTGGAATTTGTAAGATTTTTCTTTATGTTTTTGAAATAAGGGGTTATCCAATCATAAATACAGTAAAAAATAGTAATAATGTAAAATATTATTACAATTTAAAAATATCCATTTTCTATTTAAATGTTTTTAAATGTAATTTATTCCTGTGATGCAAAGCTGAATTTTCAGCATCATTACTCCAGTCTTCAGTGACACATGCTGATTTGCTGCTCAAGAAACGTTTCTTAGTATCATCAATGTTAAAAACAGCTGTACTGCTTAATATTTTTCTGGAAACCATGACACATTTTTCAAGATTCTATGATGAATAGAAAGTCTAAAAAATATATTTGATCATTTATTTGAAAAATAAAGCTTTTGTGAAATTATAAATGTCTTTACTGTCACTTTAGATTAATTTAATACGTCCTTGCTGAATGAAAGTATTAATTTCTTATTCATATGTTAATCTTCTGACCCCAAACAAGCAAGCGGTGGATAGAGAGGTGAAGTCAGACTGTCTGTGGATCTTAACAGTGTACATGTGATCATTACGATCCTGACAGAGAGACGGTGTTTATGAAAACAGACGGATGAAGAAAGGATGCAAACAAGATATGATCAAGATGATAAGACACTGAGGTGATATGAGAGAGGAAAAATGTGTTATATGAAGAGACAGACAGAATGTCATGTGCTCTCAACGTTGATGGGATAATAACAGGTGGTGATGAATATGTGATGAGGCAACATGCTCTGTCTCAGGCAGAGACTGGCACCTGCTGGTCACTATGGGGTTCACTTGGTTTCATTCAGGACAGCAGCGCTAACATGCAGAAATGTAACAGTATAGTTCAAAAGTATGGGGTTAGTAGGTTTTTTTCTGAATAAATTAACAATTTTATTTAGCAAGGATGCATTATAGTGATCCACTATGACAATAAATTACTTTTTATAATGTTACAAAAGATTTCAATACATTTCAAATAAATGCTGTTCTTTTGAACTATGGAATTCATCAAAGAATTCTGAAAACCAAATGTGTCAAGGTTTCTACACAAATGTTAAGCAAACCGTTTTTAACTGTGAAAATAATATGAAATGTTTCTTGAGGAGCAAATCTGCATATCCGAATGATTTCTGAAGGATCATGTGACACTGTAGACTGGAGTAATGATGCTGAAAATTCAGCTTTGCATGACAGGAATAAATTACATTTTAAAATATATTAAATCAAAACACAATATTTTAAAATGCAATAATATTTATACTGCTTTACTGTATTTTTTATTAAATAAATGCAGCTTTGGTGAGCATAATAAACTTTTTTCCAAAATATTACAAATGTTACCAACCCCAAACATTTGAATGGCAGTGTAAAACACAGCATTTCCTCTTTCCTGACTGTATAAATGGAAAGAAGTGGCAAGACTCACTTTTTGAGTGGTTTTGATGGGGCTCTTTTCAACAGTCTTTTCCTCTTTGTCGTTGTCTCTAAAAAGCAAGACAGCAAAAAAATGCAGACGTTTTTCAAACGAACAAAAATATAGATGATCCTCTCAAAGTGAATTAGTTTACTGAGAGTGTAAAAACTAGGGCTGCCCCCTAATAGTTGATTAACCGTTAGTCGATGAGAAGAGGCTTAGTCTATCAAAATTGTATTAGTCGCTGGGACAAAAATAAATAAATCCACAGGAAGTGGCGAAGTCATTATTAACAGCTGGTCTATGTGGTAATTACAGTACATCGGTATGGACATCCAAACGGTCGTTTTGTTTGGAACCTCATCTGGCTTATCATCTGAAACATGCACGTAGTAGCATCATTACATAACGTTAACCTAGAAAAAATGTGCGCTATTCAAGTGTTTGTGTGGAGTATGGAAGCTGAATAGTAGCGCGGTCACTCTGTGCGATCATTTGCATTTAACTTAAAATACTCCGTCATTTTTGTTCATACAGAGTAATACATCTTTCGAATCTGTAAAAGGTCTACTTTTATTTGTGGGCACTCACAAAACAAAACGTTGTGCTTTTGTAAAATGATGAAAGCAAACAGGTTGCACTTTCTGCAGTCTAGGTCTCTGTGAACTTGAGCGCGTCAAAAAAAAAGGTAACACTTTACTTGAAGGGGTGTGCATAAGACTGACATGACACCTTCATAATCATGACATGACACATGTCATGAATATGAAGGAGGTTTTATGCATGTTTATGACAACTGTCATTAAGTGTCATTCGCTCAGTTGTCATTTTTAATGCAAATATGACATTATTTGACCTAACCCTACCCCTACCCCTAACCATAGCCCATAACAAAGACATCTCAAACAATGTCATCTTTGCATTAAAAATTACATAACTGAGCGAATGACACTTAATGACAGTTGTCATAAACATGCATAAAAAACCTTCATATTCATGACATCATATTCATGACATGTGTCATGTCATGATTATGTAGGTGTCATGTCATGATTATGAAGGTGTCATGTCAGTCTTATGCACACCCCTTCAAGTAAAGTGTAACCAAAAAAAAAAACTAAAACTGCAACCGAAACTCAGTGCTTGCCTCACAGACATGAAAAATATATCTATAGAAAGCAAAATGTCTACTTTTAAATGAACCAATTCAAATGGAAAACAGATATTTTCAGCTCATGTAATCTGTATGAAACATGCACGTCCACTGTGGAGATTCGGGAACCCGACCGATATGGGTTTTTTGGGGCCGATACCGATACCGATATTTGGGAGTTAAAAAATATATTCTTTGTGTATATTATAGTACAGTACCAGTCAAAAGTTTGGACACTTTCCCATTCGTGTGTCCAAGCATTTGACTGGTACTATATATAGAATACAGTATATACATAAACAGAATATATATACATAAACACATTTTTTGCAATGATCACCCAAAAGTGGTGATCAAACACTTATAATGACGTGACAAAGATATGTAATGATGGAGGCAGGGCATTTTTGGCACAATTTAACAATAAACTTTATTCAAAATGAGTCTGACATCAGTGCACTGAACAGTAAAGTTGAAGTTTATTCAACTTTAATTCAATTCCATTCAACTTTATTCCGTTGAAGTTTATTTCACTTTGGAACATTCATTCACGGATTTGCGCTACTGTCTTCACACACAGACGAAACTTACTAGAGAAGTGTGAAGTGTGACATAATTTAGCTCTGTAAATAAATATAAATTCACGCCTCGTGCACTTTAATGCCCTTTGAATGTAACGTGTACATTCCCTTGGAACTGGAATCATGGCGGAATATCATGAAGTCCACTTCGCAGGGCACTTACGTTTGAATAAGACAACGCTTGAATGCTGCTGCGTTTCAGAGAGACCTCCTTACTGAAGTGAAAGTGTTGGCTGGTGTCACTATCTCGCGAACACGCCGGCGGATCTCCACCAAATTCGGGGGATCCCTTCAGCTCGAGGAGCC